TCGGTGTCCACCTTCCTTAGAAATGTTACATCTTGTATCCCCGTTGATTAAAAGGATCTGATTATTTGAACTATGGTGTAACCTTGAAAACTCTTTGTTCTTATAATCAGTTGTCATGTCCCCCTAATGTAGATCCCTCTTTCATTTGCAGCCTTAATCGTCTATAAAAGCTAGGACATTATCATGTTTTTGCCGAAACGTGTGTAGGAGATGCTGCTTCTTGTCTTTCGGTCTTTCATGTCAACCTTCTTTCTAAACAGGACCCCAGCTTTGGTCAAAGAGTCACCCCTCCCACACATAGCCCAGGTGGCCCAGTGGAGCTGACTCCTTCCCCAGTTCCTGAGGTAGATCATGACGTCTAAGCCGGTGATTCTCACAGTAGGGTTCCCAAACACACAGCATTTAGGCCCCATCCTTGACCTACTAAACTGTGAATGTGGGGGGCGGAGTTCCACAGGTAATCCTGAATCACAGTGAGATTTGAGGGCCACTGTTCTTTTTTTTTTTTTAATTTTTTTTAATATTTATTTATTTTTTGAGACAGAGAGAGACAGAGCATGAACAGGGAAGGGTCAGAGAGAGAGGGAGACACAGAATCTGAAACAGGCTCCAGGCTCTGAGCTGTCAGCACAGAGCCCGACTCGGGGCTGGAACTCATAGACCGCGAGATCACGACCTGAGCCAAAGTCGCACGCTCAACGCTCAACGGGCTGAGCCACCCAGGCGCCCCAAGGGGGGCCACTGTTCTTAACCAAATGTAGTAATCCCATCCTGTTATCAGTAATTGACTCAGTGAGTGGTTTTCCCTTGGCTACTGTTAATGTTCCAAAGACAGGCACGTAACCTAAGTTGAATAAAGAACAGACGTTTGATTCCAACGTTGGAAGAGATATTTTTTTTCTCTCTCTCCCATGAAATATGAAGAAGAAACTGCCATCTTAGAAGCTGGAGAGAAGCCCAAGGATAAAGTCAATACAAAGTAGAGCCAAGGAACTTTCAAAAATGCACAGGGGCACCTGGGTGGCTCAGTCAGTTAAGTGACCGGCTTCAGCTCAGGTCATGATCTCATGGTCTGTGAGTTTGAGTCCCGCATCGGGCTCTGTGCTGACAGCTCGGAACCTGGAGCCTGCTTCCAGTTCTGTGTCTCGCTCTCTCTCTGTCCCTACCCTGCTTGTTCTCTGTCTCTGTCTCTCTCAAAAATAATAAACATTCAAAAAAAATTTAAAAAAAAAAGATGCACAACAGAGCCATGTAACTTCCTGCACTCAGTCCTACCTCTAACTTACAGTTCCATGAGATAATAGTTTTCCTTACTGTTTCAGCCACTTTCAATGGAGTTTTGTTTGTTTCT